ATGTAGACGACTCATGTACTTAAACAGTTTTTGCTACAATCTGTCGAAAACACAAAGTCAGTTGAGGACTTTCTTTTCTGGTCAGTGGACTGTGATTAAGTGTACTGTGGCAATGATGCATCTCGACACACAAGTGACTTTGTTAGACAGATGCTGTACGACCTCAGGCATTCAAGTTGGCTTAATAGTCTTTAGGTTTGAGGGGGGAAGATTTGGTAATTTTTTTTTTTAAGAGCTTAAAAAAGAATTAAGGTAAATCTATAAGGTCAAGTCTTGTTTCAATTGCAATACATGTATTTCAAAATAGGTCCTTATGAAGTAGTGTGCTAGGGAGGAAACAATGAAAAAATCTGGCAAAGAAAAGTCCCTTTGGCAAAAAATGCACTCAGCTTGTGAAACAAATGGAATTTGTGTGGGTAAGCTCTATGATTGACTTTGGGAATCTTAATATTCAGAACCAGAGCTGAGTTTTCAGACTGCACATGAAAGTAGTGCTTGGTTGTGATTAAAATTAGCTAAATTTACCTGTAAAAGAACCACCCCTGAGCTAGCCTTGCAAAATTGTCCTCTTCCGCTGTCTTAGCTGAGTGCATTTTTTTTTTGTGGAAGTGAGGAAAAGGCCTTTATTCGTGTTACATCTGGAGGATTAAATAGCTTTTTTGAGAGAGTTGTGTGTGTGGTTGAGTGGATTTAGTTTTGTTTTTATGGGAAGGCTTCTTCAATAAATGTATTTTAAAAAGCTTACCTCAATTTATATTTGTTTAATCAATTCATTATGCAGGGTAAAAGCTCTGTAAGTTACCATAAGCAAGTGCATCTTTTCATCTCTGAAGACCTGATGGTGTTTTGAAGCAACTTTCTGAAAAAGCAGGAGGACAGTGTGGAACAGGGAAGCAGCTGCTTTCATAAAAATCTTTTACTTGGATGAGGCAATAGCTAAAATACTATAATTGCCTTTGAATCTATTTTTCCGTGTTTTTGAATAGAGTAGTAGCCCTCATGCCTTAGTGGTAAAACAATATTTTTGCTTCATGAGAAGTACTACGTTTCCCCTCAAAATCTGCCAGAATACTGTGGAATCTGGCTGAACTACCTAAATCTACGAGACTACCTTTTTTAGATGTACTAAACAAAAGAAATGTCTGTTTTATGGAGAAGTGAAAGGAAGAAGCTGGATATTTAATCTTTTTATATACTGTATGCATTAGAATGATGAACAGAGTGGATTTAAAGATGCAACTGGCTCTGACTAGTCCATGCATCCATTTTCCGTAAATTCATTGTTGACCCTTTTCTACTGTCTGTGTCAATGTTTTTATCCCTTATTTGCAAAAATGAACTTAGTGTTTTCTCTCTGACACAATTCTAAACCTCAACTTCAAATATTGCAAATAATTAAAGATCGTTTAAATAAAAGTATAGAAAATTAAATACTAGTTTTGCATTTAAAGTGGGCTTAATGTTCTAGGTGTGATTCCAGATCACTCTTTTAGACTGTTAACTTTACATTCATATTTAACAAATGACATTATTCAGTTTCATGGGGTCACTGTGTCAAAATGTCTGTGTTAGAACTTTAATTTATTTCCAAAGGTTCTTTGAGTGGGCAGATAGGAGTGGTGTGTTAGAATGATTTATTGTCTCCGATTCCCTATGTGGATTTTAAGGCTTGGAATATAGTCTGTGATGTAAATGTTAAGTCTAGATGGATTCAGCTGCTCTGTAGGGGCAGGCTGAACGAGTGGGACAAATCACAAATGTGGGAGCCTGACCCTCTTCTTAAGTATCGGTGATGCCTCTAATTCTATCTCCTGATTGAAACGACAATTTACCTACCTCTCTCCTGTTAACATTAATAGAGTATATGCAACTGTGGTTGTGGCCAAATTTTGCTTTGTTAGCACCCAGTCTTGGAAAGCTTGATGGGCTCTTATCAGATCAGCAATTATTGGGTGTAGACAAGAGACTCCAGTCTGAGAGTGTGATAATTGAGGAGTTAGGGAAAGTTTTTTTTAAAGTTGTCAACTGACTTCATTGGATCACATGCAATTTTTTATTGCAAAATTTATTTTGCTATGCTAGAAATTAATTCACGTGTATCAGTGATGATCTTTGCTATGGGACTGCTGACTTTGTACTCTAAAATAGTCAGGCACTGAGTGTAAATTTCACTGACTGACAAAAAGTGCAGAGGAAATGAGTGGGTAATGAGAGCAGAGCAGCCAGTTCTTTAATTGAATTAAAAGCTGGGTGACACCAATGCAGACACCTGTCCAATTACAGACAGGCCAAGGTGTTTACCATTGCTGTACAAGCGATTTGAAGATGACAGAAATCTTTCCGCCCACAGATTAACATAATGAAGGAGAACAGATTACAGTGAGTGCTGGCCAAACAGATAGGTTGGCAGCTGAGAAAAAAGTAGTTTGCTGAAGTATGTAAATAAAATCTGTGCATTTTCTATTGCCTACCTATGCAGCACATCTGTTTCTTTGTTGAAAGAAAATAGTGCAAGAGTACATGTGAAGGAAAAACATTAACTAGGAAATGAACAAATTATTTTTTAAGTTGCTGCCTTTGCTGAATATATTTTTTTAACATAAATCTCCTGTTGCACAAGGGTTTATTTGTCAGGGTTTGTTTTTCTTTTTCAAATTCTCACTGCCCTTCACAAACCTACCTATGCAATGTACACTATGTTGCACTGCGGGTGCTTTATATAAAACCCTTCTACTTTGTCAAAAGTAAACCAAACAGCTCAATCCAAACCTTATACAGCTACAGGCATCTTTCTGAATATGTGCTACTGCAGCTCTCAGTGCCTGAAGCCATTGGTGACCCCACAAAATGTCTTCCATCAGGAAATACAAGGAGCATTAATTCACTGCTTCATAAGAAAAGAATGCGACAAGTGCTAAACATACAAATAAAACTAAATTGCTTCCTAAAGCACAGCAGAGTGAACAGAGAGATGGCATATACACTATACCATTCTCCACTTTACTGAGAACTTGCAAATGTCACAGAGGATTTGGTTTCTACATGTGTTTATTTGCTGAAGGTAATTCCAGTAGTACCTTTTATACTTTCCTGCGTTTAACCCTCTGTGATCTGGAAATAAGTGCTTTGTATGAAGTTATGCAAAAAAGATGGTTTTTTGATTGATGAATTTTCTGTGCTGAAGAGTTTACTGTGGATTCTAATATTCCTGCTTTACAGGGATAGTAATGCTTCAAAAAATAATTATTTGCTATTTTATGCTTTTTGAATGCTCATTTAAATATTTATGTTCCATCACAGGAAGAGTACAGGCACGTTTGCTTGGATGGTGGCTGACACAACATTCTTTATTTTTCGTGTCGCACTTACATGACATCACAGACGGCAGTACAGCTTTCCACTGTTAACTGGGGATTTGCAGAATCTAAACTATAACCAGAAAGAATGGATTCTGATCCACTGGTTTTAATTTAACTCTATTCTGAACTAAGTGTGATTACTTCTGAATATCTCTTTGTGTGTACGAGGCAAACTGGACCTCAGAGAATTCATATAGAAAGATCATTGCGATGCCAACCTTTGAAATTTTTGGATTAATTACAAGAAAAGACACAGACATTACTAATTCAGTGAAGTTAGTCTCATATTTTCCATGTGAACACACCTATTACTGAAAACAATATAAACATTCACAGACTTTGATTGTCCCACTCAGAAAATGATATATTTACACTGTAACTGTTAATATCCAGCATCAATTCTCCAGGCCCTTTTTGTAAGTGTAAAGGGTTTATGTGGGGAAAAAAGGCATTTTTTAATGAAACTCAAAGTTATGTTGCATTCTATGTAGTAACTCAATGAAGAGTAATAATAAGGACTAAGTTCTACCTGTTTGTATATGTGTAATGCTGAGGGGGTTTGCAGACTTATTGTACTATGGGATGTTTGCCCAGGAATTATGGTTCTCTGAGGTACTGTTGTGTTTGAAGCTGCTTTGCAAAATCCCAGTGTCAGACAGTTCTGAAATAACATAGTTTTCTATAATTTTTTTTTTTTTTATGAAACATCCCATTGATTTTACTAAAAACTGTGAGAGTCGAGGTGAGAACGTGGTTTGAAATAAAACTTGACACGAATTGGCCTTCTTTTAATTACTACTGCAATTTCATTCCATATTACTTTATTGTCGGACTTACTTTGAAATGGGAACTGCTGATGTTTCTGAAAATGACTGTAAACCACATTTTTTTCCATGTAGTTCTTCTGTATATTGCAATTCAAAATATTGTGTAACTTTCTGAATCGGTAAGCAGTGATTTGTTGCATTCACTATGACAAGTAGCTGATCAATATGTGAGAATCTAGCAACTTCTCTTCACCAACATAAGCAGGACCTGAAGAAGCACAAGATTTCTGATTTTTATTTTTTTTTCTTCTAAACCCTTGGGTACTGTGTCAGCTGAATTAGGTTACTGTAGTAGTATAGCAAATACATAGTCTATGTGCTGCTACCGAATTAGTGGAACACAAGTGAGATGCTTCATACAAAAAAGAGATTTCAGTTTATGGATGAATAGGGGCATTACATTACATTTTATTTTTTTTCCTGGGAGATAGTGAAAATTCCTTGGAAAACCAAAATGAATAAGCGAAAAAACTTTGTGAGTTGGGAGCTAAGAAAAAACCTTGAGTTTATTGTCACTGTTATACTAAAATATACATCTCAATCTTGAAGTAGTATCTGTTATAGTGAGAATAACTAAAGCAACTTAGCTGCATCTTTAGTATGAAGAATGGAATAAAATTCCATTCACTCTGAATTTCTTTTGCAAAATTTAAGTCATGGCGTAATAGGAATGAAACCTTAAAACAATTTTTCTTTTTCACTGTAACAGTGGAAGCCTGTGACACAAGACTTTAATTCTTTACTTCTGTCTGTGTATGTGTATAATCAGTCTGTACACTGTACATGCATAACACCTTGCTTTCTTCTGTTGCAGGCACATTGACAGGCTTGCATCCCTTCAAAAACTATGCTGTAACCCTAACTGCTTGCACTTTGGCTGGCTGTACTGAGAGCTTGCATGCATTGAACATCTCCACTCCACAAGAAGGTAAAGTAATTTCAAAGGTCTTGACTTCCACATTTCAGTCATGAATAATAAAACAGGAGAAGAGCTAAATGCTGCAAAGCCATTTGCTGGAAAACCCCAACCTAATTTGATGACAAAGTGCATTGCCAGACCATAATTGCTCCATTTTTTGGGGGGGTGCGAAAATGAATCAAACTCCATACCCTTTAATGACATGCATCTTTAATAGCTGTAATGCAGATTAATGGGCTTTTTAATTGCTGTTACATTGTTCATGCAAGAGCCTTGTCATTAATATGAAGCATCTGAAAGATTAATGAAAGCTTCCTCGTTTTACTATGGCTCAGAAGTAAATCTAGAGACAGTCTGACTAAAAAGAATTGATTGTATGGCACAGTATGAAATTGAGAATCAAATGGTTGATTTCCATGGCTTCTTTTAACTGCTAAACACCAGCAATAGGCAGCAATTACTTCAGTGTGATGAAACCTCCAAATGCTGAGTGAGTTATTTATTAATCACAGTTCAGATTTTCCCTTTTTTTTTTCTAAGCACTTTTACACGTTGTTGTGCTCAAACTTAAAGGTTGTGAGTGTAAATTAATGTTTTCTATGCTTACATTAAGAACTAGAGCAGGAAGAAAGAGAAAATACATCACGATTCTGACTTTAGAGACTAGGCTGATAAGTAGTACACATCAATTACTGGAGCAAATGCTCCCAAAATATCTGTGACATATCTAACTCCATTCTCAATTAAACATGAAGTGCATATCTCCAGATTCTGTCATGCTAAAGCTGTGTTAATCCAGTTAAAATCATCAGTTACTCCAAATTTACATTAGTAGAAGAATGAAGAATTTGACATGTATTTATAGGATGGTAGTTAATCTTCCATGATGCAGAGTAGTTTCCAAAATTCCCTCCCTCCCACAGTTCTTTTTTTATGTTCTCATGTAAACTAGGTAGTAATACAGTACCAATAAACCAAATAAAAATTTAGCATGAAGTTATGTGAAGTACAACCGTAATGATTAAAAGCATGCTGGAGCGTTGAACTGCTGCCAAAGCAGGTAGTCATGCAAAGCCTTGTCCTGATGAGGACAGTCCTGAAGACTGCAGTCTAACATTGCTGGAACAGCGTTTTGATGCAAACATGTTAGCAACTGCCAGCAGCACCAATCAAATCAAAATCCAATTATTGCCTCTTGGAAGTTCTAAATAAACCAACTGAGTTTGTCTGGTGGCAGTATCAATGAAAGGGTGTAGCCTCTGACAGCCAAATAGTTAACAGACCCTGTGATATAAACATTAAATACAGTATTGTGTATTTCTTTCTGGTGTTAACATAGTAATTAAAAAATAAATTGTTTATGTTTCATTTTCTCATCTTAGTGAGTAAGGCAGGAATTCTTACATGTGTTTGAGAAAAACGTCCACTGTTTTCAGATGTGCTGTCATATTGGGATGGTTTAGGCAAGAATAGATTTTCAATTTTTTTTTCCCCAGAGATCAAATAAAGCCATGGGGAACATGTGTTTTATCCCTCAGAAGAACTGAATAAAAAGTCAATGTGTGGAGTTTCTATTTTTGGACGCTCTTGCTGCATGCGCTTAGTAACAATAAATTGATGATACAGAAGACAGACACCATATCACACCCTCCAGCTATCCCTGTTTCCCTATTGAAACATTCATTACTTTATATTGTTTTCACATTGCCAGCCACTGCTAGTTATTGTTTTAAATTGCTAGCACAGAGCTTGTAAATTACAAGATATTCCTCCCAGACTGAGGCCCAAGTTCTGCTCCCCTTGCGATATTCAGTGGGATTGCGTGTGCTTCTAGCATATAACTCGTTGGAACGGTGAGAGAACTCAGCTTTTAAATTATTATCCATTGCCAACTTCTAGTATATTATATACATAAAATCTACGCTAAACAAACATTACTAAGTGTATTGAATTATGAAAAGTCTGAAATAAGGGGTAGTGCCTAAGAATACAGCATCTGCATTTGTGGTTAGAAAGAATTTTGAGTTTGTATTTAGTAATAAAAAGCATGAAGGAAGAGAAAAGAATTGGTATTAGAAAAAGAACTGTATTAAAATCATGTACCCCTCCCCTTGCTCGGTGTTATCAAGCTGGAAAGATAAAGTTATATGAGCATAATTATTCTCCTAAAAAGCAAAGAGTATACCCTTGTCTTTCACAGAAGTTTCTGTTTGGCTGGGAAACCTCACATGTAACAGGAGAGTTCTCAAAATGCTGGTATGTTGAAAGCATAAAACCTCTTCTGAAATTTCAACTTTACAAAAAATCATCCTGATGGTAGCTGCTTAATGAAATAATTTATTATTTGTGGAAATATAATATAATGTTATACATATTTTTCACCAGTCCCTGAAGATGTGCAAACACACACAGCTATACTTTATATATGAACGGAGTACCAATTTACTTCGGAAATGAAACTAAATATGTTGTAAAAGGTGAGTTCTTTGCTCGGTAACATGTCAGATGGGTATCTCGCAGTTGCATGTGACCAACTCCTTATTTCAGAGGAAAAGAAAAATTTTAAAATGAGCTGGATGCACTTTAAACCCTGATGGCTTCCATTTTTTAAAGAATCCTTCGTAGAACTCACTGTTGGAACTCTCAGAAATTAATGTTGCCGTGGTGTAGCTTAATCTTGTGCTGTGTTGTCCTCTTTCACAGGACCTAAGTCATCTTTTTAACGGTTTATAGCTTTTTGATCTCATACCATCTAGCTCTCAGAACAAGTCAACTGTAAGATGTTGAAGACAAGATAATATGTACAGATTTAATAGTTTTTCCTACTGTCTTCCTTAAATAGTCTTAATTCAAGAGACACTGTGTTGCTTTCCTGAATAGCCCATGTTTAATTCATTTGTTAAAAGTATAAAATAATAATCTGTTCTCTTCTGAAACCAGTTATGCAGTATGTCATTAACCAAGTAATATCAGTTCTCTTAAGCTATTGCATAGAAGCTAAATGGCTGTTATTTGGCAGTACAGTGAAGCATGGTAATCTGACTTCCTATTTTAACGTATTTTGTGTAGTTCAATGAAGTATCCAGGTTATTTGTTCAGACATTATTCAAACAACAAAAAACAAAATCAGAATCAAAGTACTGAGCTAGAAGTATCATAGCACAGCATAAGCGCTATTCTGAACCCGTCCAAATTTGTGTATGATAGTAGGTACAAGTAAAAATAAAGCATTTCATATCGGACAACTTGGGGGAAAAAGGGTACCAAGACCCTACTTTCTTTTTAATGTAAGGCCTTAAAATTCATAGCAATTTCTGCATCTTGAGTTAGTATAAAACATATTTAAAAATTCATGTAGTTCAAATTTCTTTGCCTTGCGCAGGCCATAAGCTACTGGTGTGGTGGGTCAGTTTTGACACTGAAAAATGAATCCAGTTAGAGAACCTCCTGAAGGCTGTTGATGATCGCTGTAATAAATAGTGCACACTTTAAGTCAAACTTTTTCATTCTGTATTCAAAGGTAATGGATTTTTCGTAACCATAGTAACCTTAGTGTGTTTCTGGATAAATACATGAGGTATATACATTCTGGTTTTATTTTTGAATATAAACTACCACATTATGTATTACTAATAATATGAAAAATAGGATATAGGTTAACATAATGACAGCTCAAACTAGTGTGCATTTTTCTTCTGCAAAAAAATAAATATTTATCAAAAGCATAGGTTCAATTAATTTCTCCCCCATCCCCCCATTTTTCCAGTATTCTTGTAGTGCCATTTATCTTTTTTGCAAGATCTCCATTAATCTCTTATTGCCATACCATAACACTATTCTTAAGAATTTTGAAGTGCAAATAGTTGTGCTCCCAATCTTATTAGAATCATTACTGAAAGTTCATTACCGATAGTTTTACTGATGTGTTCATCTGCCATCTGGTTATAAATTGACAGGCAATGTAAAATGTTGCAGGAAACGTTCACCGTAATATATTTTGTTTGGGTTTAGGTTCATGTTTGATTCTATTCTGACTTGTAGCCAAAATGAATGCTTATTCATAGAAATAGTGGTCAAGTGACTTTTGTAACAGTTCTTTGAAGATATAGAAAATGATAAATTGAAAAGGGTCATCATGACTCATCATGTTCTATCTCTAAATCTTGAATGATATCAGAACACATTCAGCTAAATTTGTCTAAGGAAAAGTCATCTGGTACATAAGCTTCCTAGAAGACCTCTTGTTGCTTTTCTTTATAAATTATTTACATTGTTCTTGAAATTTTGGTATTTTTGGTCTTACTGAGGATATCATAACTTTGATTTCAATTAATTTTTAGGCAGATATAAGATATAAAGATATTAGAGAAACAGAAATTTAAAAGAGGCGTCTAGTGAATCAGATTGTGCTGCCCTATTCAGTACAGCACAAGAGCCACCCTTGCCTACCATTCTAAGCATGGTGTGGAGATCAGTCTGTTTAGTTTGGATCCATTTTATTGAGCTGCCAGTTTCTCACTCTGCCTGAGGGGGGAAGATGCAATGTGAGCCAGCAGACTGGGATTTGGGTCACTAGAAATCCCAGTCACTCTGAATCAGGTTTATTCAAGATCTTACTTAGATCTGCATATATCTTTAATTTTACCTCATTTTGCTTCTTTTTACAGCCCAAGATCCTTTTTTTTTTTTTTTTTTTTCCCCAGCTTTTGACTCCAATGTCATACACGTCTCTTTCCTACCTTTTTGGCTTTTTGCTTATCCTTTTCCTTTCAGCATTTATGCTAGTGATGTTCGTGACTTATTGCCTCAACATAATACGTTATTGACCCTAACCAGAGAGACAAAGTTCATTGTTTCTGACATCTGTTTCCTATTCATTCACCAAAATGATTTTCCTAATTTAATAACTATACGACTGAGTTCCTGTAGTCTACATCAGAAAGTCATACATTCTCTCTGTGTTTTTTGAAGTGCTGTATCTATTGAAATGTGGGGATATTTTTTAAACCTTTATATTTAGGAAGTCATCAACTCTGTCTAAAAATCAGAACTTCACTGGCTTTCTCTTCAAATTATGGAAAATGCAATTAGGCCCATACTAATTAATCCATAACTTGAGTAGGTATAAGTTTTGTCAACACTGTAGTTGCAAATATGTTAACTTAGTTTCTGATCTTGACAGTTGTTGAGGGCTTGAAATACTAATTGATTTTCATGGAAATTAAAGTGTTTGTTTTCTCTAGGGGTTGAGCTGTAATTAAAAAGGAAACCCTTTAAAAGCACATATGGCAAATGTACACTTTACCACATTGAAAACGGGGACCCATTAGGTATCCATCATCCATTAGTGCCTTTAAATATTTTCCCCATATTAACAAATCCAGTTTCTGTGTTGTGAGTGATAAAGCACTGAAATGAAGCCAGCCACAACACCTTTGTTAACTGTCTGTCTGCAGTTTTTCTGCTTCCCACCTTTATGCCTTTGCCTTACGTGGTACTTCTTCCTCGTGCGATGTGGGTGCTACTTCACATCCTGAATTCCAGTGAAAGCCTAATGTCTCCAGTGGGTAGGAACAAGCCAAGAGGAAATATTCAGTCCAGGATCCCAGGTGGAATTTCGGCTGTGTGAATACATGCCCCTGTATTTGTGCTTTCAGTTCATCTATGTGAGTGCAGAAGCTCCTGTAATGAAGACAAACAGCTGCAGCTCAAGAAGGCTATTGCAATAGTGTTCTGCTTTCCAAACTCGCACACCTTACTGTTCTGTAGAGTTGACTAGCAGCTGTGAGGAGGTGGAGAAGCTTGTACAGCTGTCTTCAAAATCCTTAACATATACACACTGATCTTACAAAGGCTTTTGATTTTACGAAAATTTGAGTTGATTTTTCCTGTAGAGAGGAAAATATTGTTCTCTCATCCATCCAGACACTCACAGGCAAAACTGAAGCTTCTGCTTTGAAATGTGGAGATTTCTTAATGCAATTCTTTCCTTGTATTTTTAAATTTAGGCAAGGTATTAGTTCTTCTTTTCCGTTTGCTTTAAATTAGTCTCAAAAAAATCCCACCTGCCTACATGAAAGAGAGTACAGGGTGTGTTTTACACTGAGAAATATTTACCTGTGGTGGCCTGAGCTGGTGGTGCCAATACCACCAGCAGAAAGGTGGTCTAATAAATGCAGAAAGGTACAGGGTAAGCAGAGACAGTAATGATCAGATGTGATCCAAGTGCCAAGTTTTGTTTTGGTGGAAACCTTATTGTTGTGAAGAAACTTCAGAAGAAAAGGTTAGAGCAAAATATTCGTCTGTTCTTAAATGCTGAGCATTTGATGGAGTAAGAAAAGATGTTCATTACCTAACGTGTTTACAAAGGGACATGACTTTGTAGATATCTTTAGAAAGCAAAAAATGTTTAAATCTACCTTTGCACTGAGCTTGGCACTGAGGATGTATGTCTGCATTTTCTGCAGCACTAGATACTTGACAATGTTAACAAATTGTGTTTGTATAATTTTTCTAGCAGAATCTAATGTTTCTCAGCATGAATCTTTAAAAGGAAGATATTCTTATTAAGACTCAGCTGTATGAAACTTATTTTTCTCTGCCAACCTGAAAGAATTGTTTCCAGTTTTTCAGAAAAGAGATGCTGTCAGCTATGTTACAAGGGCAGATCCTCTGTTGAGTTAAATGAGTAGAGTTATCCTAAATTACGTGCCCAAGATTTTGAAAAAACTGTGACAGACTGCTTTGTACCAGGTTTCTGGGCAAAATATTAAGGAGAGCCTTGGAAAAGGTGAGAAAGAGCAGTCTTCACAATTTTGTCTAAGAGCGTGAACTAAGCTTTAGCTTATTCAAATTGTTATTTGACCTGAGTGTGGAAAGGCTGATCCTACAAAACCAGGATAGAATGGGAGCCTTGTTTTTCTGTGAGCAAGAGACAGATGTTTGACATCTGTGCAGATAGGATTTAGCATATCTGAGCTTAAAAAACGGGAGAACCCTGAATTAGTACCTGTTTTTTTGTTTTATATTGCTCTAAACAAGTAGTAATTACAGTACACACTATGCACAGCCATGCACAATTATTACATTTTAGTGAAAAATTGGCAAAGTTTTCTGTCCTTTTTATCCCTATGACTGCTACTGCTTGTTTTAAATCATAGATCATGATAGCAAAAGCAAAATCCATCATAATATCAATAATGTACTAATTGCCAAGTGAAACAATTTGAACAAGAAAATCCACAGAATTATATGTAGAGGATAATTGCAATAAGATATATCACTGCAAGAAGCTGAATCACTGAGAAGAAAACACTTACTATGTTAGGTTTTAAATGTAGGTCTCATGGTTACTTTGTATACAGTTTTTAGCTATAGCCATGTTTAAAACCACCGATCTCCAACCCCAAGGATTTGCATTTCTTTGTTTTAGGTCTTGCTCAAAGATGACAGGCAGCTTTTGCCTTAAAGGACAAAC